CAACAACAAAATATGTGTGCTTCTTACTGTGGATCATTGCCGGAAGAGTCTGAAGACACTAACTTAGAAAGTGCAGTGGGATGTTATTTCCTGCTCTCTTCCAGTCACATCAGTGTGATGCATGGCTTCTCTCCTCTACCCTACAGAACCGGCTCCCCAGAGTCACCTGGACCTCACAGAGCTCATCGGCGTCCCGTTGCCCTCCTCTGTGTCCTTTGTCACGGGCTACGGTGGTTTCCCAGCCTACAGCTTTGGGCCTGGTGCCAACGTCGGCCGCCCGGCCAGGACCCTGGTCCCGCCCACCTTCTTCAGGGACTTTGCCATCAGTGTCACAGTGAAGCCTGGCAGTCCTCGAGGTGGGGTGCTTTTTGCGATCACGGACGCCTTCCAGAAGCTCATCTACCTGGGGCTGCGGCTCTCGAGCGTGGAGGACGGCCTCCAGCGACTCATCCTCTACTACACGGAGCCCGGCTCCCAGGTGTCCCACGAGGCTGCCGTCTTCCCGGTGCCCGTGATGGCACAGAGATGGAACCGCTTTGCCGTGCTCGTCCAGGGCGAGGAAGTGGCCCTCCTCCTCGACTGTGAGGAGCACAGCCACGTCTCCTTCCAGCGTTCCTCGCGGGCCTTGGATATCGAGCCCAGCGCCGGTGTCTTCGTGGGCAGTGCTGGGGCCACGGGGCTGGAGAAATTCACCGTGAGTGTCAGAGTCCTGCTCCTGGCAGATCAGGGAGGTGTCTGGGCACAGACTGACCGTGCAGCAGATATGGGCAAATATCGTTAATTATGAGGAGGTGGCACAGTGCTTCAGTGCTCACTGCTAACCACGAGGTCAGCGGTTCAAACCCTGCAGCCACCCAGTGGGAGAAAGACGAGGCAGTCTGCTTCAGTAAAGATTGACAGCCTTAGAAACCCTGTGGGGCAGTTCTACTCTGTCTTCTAGGGGTGCTGTTAGTTGGAATCAACTGGTTGGCAGTGGGTCTGGTTTCGGCTTTGTTTCCGTAGAGATTACCCAAAACCAAACTCACTGCCATCAAGTCGGTTCCAACTCATAGCAACCCCTCCTTGGGTTTCTGAGGCGGTATCTCTACAGAAGTAGATTTCACAGTCTTCCTTCCAAGGAGGGGCTGGTAGGTTTGAACTGCCAGCCTTCTGGTTAGCAGTCAAATGCCTTAGGCACTATGCTGTAGCGATTATAGCCTTGGAAACCTGCGGGGCAGTTCCACTCTGTCCTCTAAAAATGCTGTGAGTTGGTATTAACTCAACAGCAGTGGGTTTATTGTTATTATTATTTTAATTTTTACTTCTTTGGAAGCTTAAAAACATAGTCCCAATACTAAGTTTTTCACTTATTAGCCTGATAACTCTGTACAGCTCTGAATCCTCTGAGCTTCTCTGTTTACTGTCAGATGTGATGTTTCCTCATCTGTAAAGTGGGGGGAAGTCAAGCCTGCTTCGCAGGTTGGTGGGTTAAATACCATGCCTTGGGTAAAAGCGCTTTGCGTCTTTTAAGAGGGAACCCTGAGGGGTACAGAGGTTAAGTTGTGGCTGCTGACCAGAAGGTTGGAGGCACCGGGGAGAAAGGCTTGGGGAAAAGGAACCCCACTGAAAACCTCATGGAGCACAGCTCTGCCTTGAGGCACATGGGGTCACTGTAAGCCGGAGTCAACTTCTTGGCAACTGGTTTGGTTTCTTTTTTGGTTTGTGTTGGTCCAAGCTTTGAACACAGGGCTCTCCAAGGCTTCTTTCTCCATCTAATGGAGTTTATTTTATACAAGGAGAGCAGCCAGGGTGGCTGGTGACCTCGTCACAGCTGCAGGCAGAACGTTCACACACATTCTTTCATGTGTTCTTCTCTGTTATGAAAATAAGCCTCTGGTGCTCGCGGGGGCCCCTTGTAGCTGTGTGGACGGTGGTTCTGACCCTCTGCTTTTCCCCAGGGCGCCATACAGCAGCTCGCCATCCACGCTGACCCCAGAGCCCCCGAGGAGCTGTGTGAAGCCGAAGAGGCCTCGGTGAGCAGCCCTGGGCCCCGGCAGCAGCCCGGCCAGGGGAGGGCCCGGTGCCCAGGCCATTCCTCACCCAACGTCATGGGGTCACTGAGACCCCTTGTCTTGGCAGTCCTTTGGGCTTTTGGATTTGTTTTACTTTGGGAAGGGCTTCAGGTGTCTCCTTGGCATTGGGGGTCCTGCTTCCTATAAGGTGTTAGGTTCCTCGTGGCTGTGATAGGCAACGGCCTTGTTTCCAGCCTTCCTGCCAGCCAAGGGTGTCAATTCTAAAAGTTAAAACTCTAAGACATTCTGGGTGTGAATTCCTATAAAAACGAATCTAAAGTTAGCTGCTGTGCTTGGCAAGTGGAGTCATTCCTGAGTGGGGGGTGAGCAAAACAAATACAGCTCATTCCCTCCCTCCCTTCCTCCCTCCCTCCCTTCCCTCCTTTCTGTGCTTCCCTCCCTCCCTCCCTCCCTTCCTCCAGTATTTACTGAGAACCTGTCAGGTGATACCCTGGGTAGGTGCTGGAGACACAGGGTTGATCTGAGTACCGTCTCCATCCTTAAGCTGCTCACACAACTACACACCCAAGT